CGCCCGAGCTGCTGCGGCGCGCCCTCGAGGGCGTCGGGCAGGCCAGCTACGACGCCGGCGCCGCGGCGGGCGTCGCGGCGCCGGGGCAGGCGATGTTTGCCGCGAGCGCGCCCGGCGCGGCTGTGCCCTTTGAGGAGCGCTACCAGGCGCTTGCCGGCACAGCAGGAGGCGGCGGCGGCTGGGAGGATACCCCAGAGGAGAGGGAGGAGTTGCTGCTGGCGCTCGACGCGGCCCTGTCAGACGGCCTCCCCTGCTACGCCGCCGCCCTCGCCGCCGCGCCCCACGCGCCCGCGCTGCTCGCCGCCGCGTCCGACGCGTGGCGTGGCGCGGCGGCCGCCGTTGGCCAGCAGTCGCAGCGGCTGGCGGACGTGCTGGAAACTTTTGTGCTGCCGGTCAACGCACACACGAGGTATCGAGGGGCTACTAAGGGCTCGGTGTTGTACCTGCCCGGCGTCATCCGCGCCGTCACTAGTGACTGGAACCACAAGAAGATCTACGCCAGCCGCTGCACGGGCGGCAAGCGCGTAGCGCAGGTGTGCATTTGCGTCGACGTGTCCTCGTCGATGGCGGGGCAGCGGCTGCAGGCCGCGCAGGAAGGGGCCGTCATGGCGATAGAGGCGCTCGTCAACTGCGGATTAGAAGACTTCTGCGTGATCGCCTTTGCGGGCGGCGTGCAGCTGGTCAAGGGGCCGGACACGCCCTGGGGCCCCGAGACGCAGCTGGCGCTGCTGCGCGCGTTCGCGGCTGGCGCCGGCGGCCCCGCCGGCCGCGCCGCGACGCTCGACGCCGCGGCCGTCGACGCCGCGGCCGCGCTCATGGCGGCCGCGCGGCCGAAGCCCGGCGCGGAGCGGCTCGCGCTCGTCTTCACCGACGGCCTCGGCACGACCGGCGTGCGGCTGGCCGGCGCGCTTGCGCGCGCCACGGACTCGCGCGTCCGCGTCGTGGGAGTCGGCCTGGGCTTCGACGCGACCTTCGTGCCGGCTACCTACCAGCGCTGGGCGACGGCCGCGCTGCCGCGCGACCTGCCCGACGCGCTGCAGGCCCTGTTCAGCCAGGACGAGCCGTCCGCCGGCGGCGCCCCCGTGCCGCCCGCGGCCGCGCCTGGCGGCGCCGGCGCCGGCCTGGTGCCCGTGCGCCGCGGCGCCGCGGAGAGCCTGGACGGCTTGCTGCAGGTGCAGCTGGAGGGTCAGGCGCGGCTGTTCACCGGCCTGGTGCGGGCGCTGGGCGACGAGGTGGAGGCCAAGGTGCTGCACACCCAGCCCGACGACATGAGCGTGGACGTGTGCTTTGCTATCGACGTGACGGGGTCGATGAGCGGCTGGATAGAGGCCTGCAAGGCGCAGGTGGGTTGGGACGGGGGTTTCGTCTCAACACGCGCAGCAGCTGAGCGGCTAGTCAAAGTCTATGAAATGGCTTCGAACGGCTGATGATGTGGTCATCAAGGAGTGAATTGGCAACTTTGTCTTGGTTGTGCTCCACAGCTACACCCAGAGCTGGCTCACCCTCATATGCATTCAGTCTGTCACCATACCAACGGACAGCGTGCGCCCTGTCCCCGAACGCCCCCTCACGGCAGGTCCTTGCGATCGCCACGCAGCTGCTCCCAAAAATCAAGCAGCAGACCAAGGGCCTGGACGTGCGCGTGCGCTGGGGGCTGGTGGCGTACCGTGATGTGGACGATGCCGTGCCCCTGGAAATCGTTCCCTTTGCCGACGCCCCCGACGCCCTCATCGCCAAGGTGGGCACCCGCATCCGCACCGGCAGGCCGGGCCCCGCGAACGGCGGCTCAGCCGCATCAAACTTGTGGAAACCGACCACTCATGCCAGCCGCCTGGGCTGCCAGCGGCGACACAAAGGGGATCGGGCCCACAGTGCCCAGAACAAAGGCCACGCAGACACAACAAGACCAGCAGACCCAATCCTGAAAGACGATGCATCATACCGTCCGCGTCCCCCTGATCCATCCCCACAACACCAGGTGAAGAGCCTGCAGGCCGCCGGCGGCGGCGACGAGCCAGAGGACATGGCCGCCGCGCTCGCCACGGCCGCGGGCCTGGACTGGTGCTCCAAGGCGCGCTTCCTGGTGGTGCTCGCAGACGCGCCCCCCCACGGCTCAGAGTGCCACGACCTGGCCGCGGGCGCGGACCGCTACCCCGGCGGCCCGCCGACGCCCGGCGCGGGGCTGGCCGAGGTTATGGACGCGCTGCGCAAGAACGAGGTGAGGGGCCGAGCGGCGCATGACAGCGTGGGAAGTGGCGCGCGTCTGGGTTTCGGCCCTTCGGAGGGAGGCCCGGGGTCCAGCTTGCTTTGGATGAGTAGCGCACCTTACAGCAGATTAGACCAGATTCCTGTTGCCAGCCTGTGCATGCTATCGGCGACCCTCGACGTCGTCGCCTCCGATGCCGACCACCCACAGATCGACCTGATGATGATGCCGGTCAAGAAGGGCCGCCTCGACAAGACCCTGGCAGCATTCCGCCGCCACTACGAGCGCCCCGACTCGACCCACCTCAAGCTCACCGTGGAGCCGCTGTTCAACGCCGCCGCGCCGCCGGCGGGCGCGTTCCACTTTGTGTTCTGCCTCGACTGCTCCGGCAGCATGAGCGGGCGCCCGTGGGCAGACGTGGTGCAGGCGTACGGCCAGCTGCTGGCGCGCCGCCGCAGCGACCAAAACCAGGGGGATGTCGTGTCAGTTGTCACGTTCTGCTCCAGCCCCCACGTCGCGGCGGCGGTGACACCCATCGACGCCGCGCCGTCGAGCCTGCCGTACAGCGGCGGCGGCACCTGCTTCGCGCCCGCCCTGGCAGAGTGCCAGCGCCTGCTCGAGGCGGCGCCGGCGCGCTACACGCCGGTGCTGATCTTCATGAGCGACGGGGAGGACTGCTCCAGCGGCGCGACGCAGGCCGTGCAGCAGCTCTGCTCGAGGCTGCGCATGTGCAACCTGCAGGTGCATACGATCGCGTTTGGCAGCGGCATCAAACTGCTTGAGGACATGGCGGCAGCGGCTGGGTCGGCGGGGCAGTACCACGCAGCGGCGGGCGGCCTGCAGCTGCAGCAGGTGTTTGTGCAGATTGCGGCGGAATGCAGCGCAGTGGACGGGCTGGTGAGGGAGTTTGCGCAGAAGCTGACCGAGATGATCTCGGTCAAGATCATGGTTGACTACCTGTGAGGTTGTGCAAGGTGTGAAGATAATGCGCTGGCAGTTTAGTCGTTTAGATTGCATGGCCACAAAATAAATGTACATTATCTGCCAGACCGCAGAACATGGAGATGCGGGGAACGCCTAAATTTGCGCAGGGGAGGGGTGAGGAGGACACAGAGGTCAGCAGCAGGAGGCGTACTGATGGGCCACACTTTTCCATTAGTACATTGCATCGCATTGTTTGGTGTTGCCAGCCGTAACACAGCCTGTATGAATTTGTAAAGACAATTGGAGTTGAATATACTTTGCATATGTTTTGCATTGGGGGCTCTCAGATCAAGCCCAGGCAGCCCAGAGTCAATTCAGCAGCACCCTTGGTTGGTTGCTCGCGTGCAACACCCTGGACGCTTGAACCATTTCAAATGAGGTGCCCGATTCTCTTTGCAGCACGGCCAAGTGTGAAGGGCCGCGAGCTGCCCGAACTTCCTCGGCATGAAGGAGTGCACCGATGAGCTGCGTTGACTCCCTGCTGCGCCTGGGGCAGCTGCCCTGCTGCGGCACTCTGTGGCAGCATCGCTGAGTTCACGTTACGCTCACTTGCGGTCGCGCAAGCAAGGTAAGGTGCTGGACAGAGCCGGCGCCAGCGATGCCTACCTTGGAATTGTGCGTCAGGTGCAGCACTTCAGGGGCTCGCTGGGTCGCCAACAAGTGGCCCTTGGGTAGGGTAAGGGGGCAACACGCCTGTTGCTGCAACAAACCATGGCCACAGCAAACGGGATAAGGAGGCTCAACTGCTTGTGTGCTAGCCTGACCTCAGGTTTAGCGGATGAGCCGCTATTCTTTTTCTGCATGCTGATCACATGGTCCTGCAAGTCAGCAAGCTGATGACATCCACTGGGCACTGGAGTTCAGCAAGGGCTTACTATTCCCTGCTTTGCGTATCGTATGGGCGCCATTGCCTCGAAAGAATGATTTGGGCAAAGGGGACGGTTCTGCCATACCTGGAGGTGCCGCAGGCCTCAATGGGCACATCGGGGGGGGGCTGCAGTACCGTATGCAGAGCGCCAGGTGGCGGCGCCACAGATCAACAGAAACTCGCGCCGGGCGGTCGGGTGACCCGAGGCGTTGTCGCGTGTCAGACGCTGATCACTGGTTGCCATCGACCCGTTCTATTGTGTTAGCAGAGCCCGGGTTCCCCGCGCTAGTCTGCAGGACAGTTGCTGCCGGGCTCTGTCTCATCGCACTCCATCTCGACCCGCCAAGACACGCATTTCCAGTGCTGTAAAGTTTTGTACAGCTTTCTGAAAGATTCCAGCAGAGATGGCCCCCGACCCCAGGTACCCCGATGCGAGCGCGGCGGCGAACGCCGGTGGTGCACAAGCGCCCGGAGTCGGGTTTGATGGCGTGCAGCAGCCCCAGTTCGCGCCTCCCGCCGGGTACGGTGGCGTGCAGCAGCCCCAGCTTGGGTCCTACCCGCCAGCCGATGGCAAGGTCGTCTCGCCTTCCGGGTGAGTTGTGACACGGGCACAGGGCGCACGGCCCGCATCCATGCGTGGGCTCCTGAGATTCGCCTGAAGGCTGCCAAGCCTTGCCCGCCCTCCCCGCGCTTCTGGACTCAGCCACTGACCAGCCGTGCATTCGCCCTGCTGATGCCACCTATCAGGTACCCCAGCGTGGCGCCAGTGGGTCAGCAGCTGCCCCACGGCTACCCAGGTGCGGTCGCCAAATGCGATGGTGTTTTGCTCGTTCCCTCTTCTGGTGTACCCAGGCTCGCCGTTGCATGCCACGCTGTTGGGGAGCCAAATCCATGCCCGTTCAGATCTGCCACCCAGAAGTCAGCGGCACGGTCACCCAACCCATGTCTCCCGCTGCGCAGGAGCGCCGCCGCCAGGCCCCGGCACTTACCTGCCGGCTGGCGCGCCGCCGCCGCCGGGCGGGCTGCCGCCCCACTCGACGGTCGGCCTGCCCATGGGCGGGGTCCCGGCCGCTGGCGACAAGATCGGTCCCCTGGGCATCACCGCTTGGGTGCTGTTCGTGATGTGAGGGCTCTGGCCAGCGTGTGTGGGGGGGGGGGGCAAGGGCGTGGGCGAAAGGGATTCGCGGGCTCAGGGGCGAGGCCTGGCGGCCTGCGAGGCGTCCTGCATTCTCCACATCGCCAGCAGGCTGGTCAGACGTGAGCGCTGGGCGCCGCTGCGTTCAACGCACAGCTAGCACCAGCGCTGACCAGAACTGACGCGCCCCACTGCCCCCGCCCCCGCCACCACCTAAGCACGCACTCGGCCGACTCCGCCGTCCGCGCGCCCCCCCTCCTCCTCCCGCAGTGGCATCATCTTCCCCATATCCTGGGTGGTGGCCTGCTTCCTGCCGCTCTGCGCCAGGAGGGGCGCCAAGGGCCCCAAGGACGCGCTGGCCGTGAGGCGCGCCGCCATCGCCAGCTCGGCCGCGCTCTGCGTGTACCTGGTGGGCGGCCGCGAACGCGCCCGACTGCCAGACGCCGGCGACGTCGGCCCCTCGGGCCGCCCCATGCTGCTTGGCGGCCGTCTTTGCACGGCCCGCATGGGTGCACTGCGCGCCCCCATCTAGTGCTGCCTCCATCTGTCACCTCCCATACCCGACCTGGCTGCTCTTTGCCCCCTCAACGCCACGATTGTCCCGCTTCATGGCGCACCAGGTGCTCATGGTGGTGCTGGTGTCGATGGGCTCCACCAAGTGGAAGCGCAACATCTGCGTGGACAGGAACGGGAACCAGTTCTATTGCTGATAACGGGGCGCTAGTCAAGCGCTCGATCCGTTTCGTTGCTTGAATTGAAAGGTGGGAGAGGAGGAAGGCTGTGAAAGGGCTCATTGCGGCGGCGGTCCCTGGCTGGGGGAGTGCTGCCTCGTCGCTCGCTCCTTTGGGCCCCATCCCTCTGTCTCAGGCACTGTGGGCCTCATTGCTTGCCTGAGATGCGGCTTACAGGCTAGAGTTTGCGAGCATCACAGTGGCTGTATTTTTTTGTAAATTTCCACTTTTTTTCATCCCATGACGATGAGCAGTGCTAGGGCACCGCTGGTGATGCCATTCGCGCGCAAGCGGACGGATGGCATCAGCGGTTCCGTGTGGTGCGCTGTGGCGGTGCCAGGCAGCATCCTGCGGCTAATTGCTAGACAAGTGCATGCCAGTCGCCTAGTGCCCTTGATTTCGTGTTTGCGAGCGTTGCATTGGGCGGCTGTGCTGCATTCCGTGGCGGGGTGAGGGATGGGCGGCTGGGCGGGCGCGTGGGGGGCACCCGACGCGCGACCCATGTCAACCCTGCTGGACTGCAACAGCGATTGACGAACTCATGCGCGACACCCTTCAAAAGATCTTGCCCTTCCAGACGCCTTGAGGCAGCGAACAAGGTGGGCACAGGAGCACAGACACGCGGGTGAGGGTCGTTCTGAGGCTACGGTGTCGTTTCACGTACTCATTGACTCGAACGAATAGCATCGCCGCTTGTCGCACCGCCGCTCGTGCCTATTGTTGCTCTCGCCTCGCGCTGCATTCGCAACTGAGCATGGATGCCCCTCGCAGTCCCCGGCTACCAGACTTGATCGAAAGGACGTAACGCAATTTTTCAAGCACATCAGGCTTGAGGGGTGCATACCCGCCACCAGCCACAGCGCGCGCAGCATCCCGCAAGGGCACGGTGGCAGCGCCGCGCCGAGGGGCATGCAGCGGATGCAGCGCGCGCCGCTGCATTCGCGGCATGCAGCCTCCGGCTTTGCATCCGCAAACAGCCAGCTGCAGCGGCTGGTCGGACGGCCGGAATGGCATTGTCGGCAGCAGCACCGGCGACAGCTGGCGAGCGAGCGGGTGAGGCCTGCCGCGGCAGGAGCGCAAGCGGACGGCTCAGAGCCGCAGCCGCTGCGCCCGAAGGCGCAGGCCGCTGCGCCGGTGCAGCCGCAGGTGGTAGACGCGTCGGCGCCACAGGCCGGCGCAGGCACAGGTGCGGCGGGCCCCAACAACGGCCAGAGCTACAGCTCCTTCTACAAGACCCAGAACGCCCGGTGGATCAGCAATAACAACGGCAGCAGCAATGGGAGCAACGGCGCCAAGCACGCGCCGCCCTCTCACAGCGCGGCGGCGGGGGCCGCGGAAGCGGCGGCGGCGGACGCGGCAGCAGTAGCAGCAGAGGGGGCGCCGGAGTCAAACGTGGATGATGCCCTAAAGAAGGCACAGGACGCGCTGGCTGCCGCGGAGACGTCCCTGGACGGCGCCGCCGGCGGCGAGGAGCAGGGCCTGCGCGAGGCGCTGCTGGCGCGCGCGCTCAAGGCATGGCTGGTGGTGCGGCCGGCGGTGTTGGTGGGGACGCTGTCCGTAGCGCTGGTGGCGTCGCACGCGTTCGGGCTGGCGCTGCAGTGGGCGGCGGCGACGCTGACCGCGCTGGGCATCGCAGGTGTGTGGGATTGGGTGTTTTGTGGGGAAGCCGGCTGCATCTTCTGGTCTAGGGACCAAGACAGCCACGCTTAAGCCTTGATTTTTGGATATAATTTTCTGGGCTGCGGCCTGAGTGACCTCGGGATGCTGGGGAGCTCAAGTAGATTCTTGCTGCGCCCCTTCGCCATGTCAGCCACTCACCCGCGCCGCGTCCATCGTGCTCCCCACCCTTTGCTCCACCCCCCAGCCTGGGGCCACCGCCGCGGCTCCCTCTCGCCGAGCGGCGCCGTCGCCGCGGCGACCGTCGGCCTCGCGACGCTCGGCTGCAGCCTGCGGCTGGGTTCCACCCTGCTGGCGTTCTTCTTCGCCAGCAGCAAGCTGACGCACTTCAAGGAGGAGCTCAAGGAGAACATCGAGGAGGGCGCCAAGCGCGGCGGGCAGCGCGACTGGAAGCAGGCACGCTGAGCGCGGCGCACGGCGTGCGGGCGGCGCGTCCTCTGAACAGTCCGCGGGCCGTATCTTTGCCGCTTCCTCGGGCGTCGCCTTGGCGGAATGGGCCGGCGTTTGGCACCTTGACAGCAGCCGTAACGCGCCTCGTGTACATCAAACAGCGGCTTGGCGGCCGTGCATTTTGCCACCCCGCGCTGGTCACCTCCCCGGCTCTGGCACCCCTGACCTGCGCCGCGCCTCCACCGGCCCCCGCCCGCCCCCCGCAGGTGCTCTGCAACAGCGGCCTGCCCACCGTCCTCGCCGTTGCCTACGGCGCCCTGGCCGGCTGCCTCGACCTGCCCCTGGGCGCGCTGCCCGGCATCGAGGCGTGGCGCGCCGACCTGCTGACGCTGCTGATGGGCGGCTTCCTGGGGTACTACGCGTGCTGCTGCGGCGACACCTGGGCGTCGGAGCTGGGGGTGCTGTCGAGCGACACGCCGCGGCTCGTCACGACGCTGAAGCCCGTGCGGCGCGGCACCAACGGCGGCGTCACGCTGCTGGGGCTGAGCGCGAGCATCGCGGGCGGCCTGTTCACGGGCGCGGTGTTCTACTTGGCGGCGGTGGTGTCGCCCACCCTCTGGGTGTTTGACCTTCAGGTCGGCGCGGCCAGCCGGGGCTGCGGGGTCGCGTGGACGCGGTTTGTTTCCACGAGTTTAGAGGGGAGTCAGCGCTGCAAGCCTGCGATCATGTCGGACTGGCCAGCTGTCTGCGTGTGCTTTGTTGGTTGCTGACCCGTGCTACATGCGCCAGCCCTTCTGCCACGACGCGCGCCGACCCGCCCCGGCGCGGCCACCCCACCTGCCGTTCCCCCTCGTCGCAGCGCGCGGCTGCGGTGGCGCAGTGGCGCCTCATCCCTCTCGGCCTCATGGCGGGCCTCTTCGGCTCCCTGGTCGACTCGCTGCTCGGCGCCACAGTCCAGTTCACGGGATATGACGTGTCGCGACAGAAGATCACGTCAAAGCCCGGCCCCGACGTCGTCCACATCTCCGGGCTGCCCTTCCTGTCCAACAATGCGGTCAACCTGGTCAGCGCGACGATCACCAGCGCGCTCACCGCGCTCGCCGCGCTGCGCATGTTCGCGTGACCGACTGGAGCAGGCCGCGCGGCGCGGGGCTGTCGTTGGTGTGGCCAACCTGACGAATCTTGGGGCTCGCACACGCGCCCGAGTGACCATGGCAGGGAGGCGAAGTTTACGGATGGACGCGGTCCCGCCTTTTGACCATCATCAATGGAGGCCGCACTGAGTGCATTAGAGCATTTGAGCACCACCTTCTTTCCCCGGGGGTCTGTGGCTATCATAGCAGGGCGCGGCAGGGCGTTTGCCGCGGGTGTACGGCAACTGCTTCAGCCGGCACGCGGCCGGTGCGCCGCCACCGCGCGCACACGCGCCGCGCGCCAGCTCGTGCGGGGCCCTGCCCGCCCGCCTGTCCTAGCGCGTCAAAAGCCCCGCGCGTGCCTGCCGGTAGCTCGCCGCAATGGGGCCGTGCGCGCGCACACTCGTACTCACACATGCACACACACACACACTGACAGCGCGTGTGAGGTGGCCAGTCTGCAGCGCGTCCCTACCCCTTTGCGCGCCCCGGCATGCGCACGGCTCCCATCATGCATGTGCCCTGCCAGGGCGCGCCTGGGCGGGCGCGCATCAGCCGTGCCCGCCCCTCACGAGCAGCACTTGCCTCACTTTCCTGCTAGGTGCGCAAGGCCCCTGCTCGCTCTCCTTCTGCATCGCTCAGCGCCCCGTACCCTGTGGTTTCCGTGCATTCACCCACCAGCTGCCGGTGTTGTTTCACATGCGGGGAGCCCCCCAATCACCACACAACGCAGCGCCCCAGGCGCCCCGCCGTTGCGTGAGTGGCTTGAGCTTGGCCGGCCGTGCGGCCCCCCGGGCAGCGGCCACCGGAGCACGAGCACCCAGGCAGGGCGCGCGCATTGCCCGCCCCTGGCCGTCGATGCAGAGTGTCGTTCCAGCGCGTACGTGAGCGCGCTTAGACCAGTTTGCCGCGAGGGTTTGACGCAGCGCAGCGCCGCCCTGCTGGCGCCTCGTCGGCAGCTGCCCCAGGTCATGTCGTGCCGCCAGGTTGCCCCGGGGGCCTGGACGCCAGATCGCGCCCTCGACACACTTCTTGATGCCCCCAGCGCCGTACACCCTACCAACCCCCGTTGACCGCACGGATGAACAAACACACTCGTCGCACTCTTGAGGATGCCAAAACCACACGTTTTCATCAGGCCGCTTGGTGCGCCGTACTGCCGCATCGTCAGCGTCTCCTGTTGTGCTGCTGTCGCGGGCTGCTTGAGCACTAACCTGCGGTGTTCCCGGGCCGCATCCTTGCTGCCCCGCCATGCACACGTCGACAGGCCTGGCCGCAGCGGTTCCTTGAAGCAGCAGGACAAAGAGTTGTGTGCATTGCCCGTGCTCTATTTCATCGCATCGGTGCATGTCAGCGTGCGAGTACATCAATTCGCAGACGGTGGCGTGATGCGTGACCGGCGCTGCAAACGAAGGCGCGCTCTGGCCTGCGAGAGAGTTGGCCTGTGCTGCAACTTGTCGTGTTGGAGGAGCCCCGTCTCTGCCCAGGGTGTGGGGCCAGCGGTGTATTGGAAGGAAGAAGAGGTTTGCCCAAATGGCAGATGAATTATGGGTGGCGGAATGGTGGCGTCCAGGATTGCTCATCGGTTGCCGGCCCCAGCACAAAGGTCAAAGCAAGGTCAACAGCTCCTCAGCAAGAGAACCACTTGCCTCAGCTACGGTATACCGTACACCTGACCACCTAGTCAACACTAGCATGCTGATGGCACATTATGGGAAGCAGCACAACAATGCGCTTGGCTCCGTGGACGCCCGCACATGTGCAGCAGGCGCAGTACCAGGTAGAAAGGAATTGACACTTTGACCGTTTACACCCAGCACGAACAGCTTGCAAGCGTTGAACAAAGTCCTGCTCCGAGAGCGTTGCATGCGCAACAATTTCGAATCATCCGAAAGCATAGCTGAGTCCAGCGACTGCTTCCTGTCACTGTGTGACAGCGATCTGTGCAACAGCCCCTGCAAACATACACCTGTGACAGCGCGACAGTATTGACTGAAATTTTTGATCGGTGGCTTCTTGCTTGTAGAGTCGGGGATCTGAGATGGCGCGCGGGGCTTCTCAAGACCGCGATGGGTAAGCCCGCCGCCTCAAGGCGATCATATGATGGAACAGCCTGTGATTGCGTTAGAATACGGCTGCTGTGCTGGTACCTGCAGCGTTTTGCGGCACGGTTCGCGCCCATCAGGCCGACGCGCCGCCTCTGTCGTATGCTCAAACACCACGCGCGTCTTGCAGCGAACGGGAGCGCGAACAGCGACTACAGGGCGAGCAGCGCCTCGCGACGGCGATGCAGATCGCGCGCAGGGCTGTCACCAAGGTCGCACCGTACGCGGCACAGGCGCTCGTGTCTATGGCGGCCTACTCGGTTGGGCTGACCGCGACGCAGGTGAAAAATGGGGCAACATGTCACGGCGCCTTGATTGCTCAACAGCGTGCTTTGACTGGTAACAGGTTGCTCTCCTGCTAGCCTGTTTAGCAAGCCCAAATTGCAATCTGGTCTGCGTGACGCCTGCCCGCAGCTCGTGGGCTACTGCCTCCGCATCTCGTGCCGCACGCCCGTCCTTGGCCCCTGCCTTGGCATGGCTGGCGTCGGGTTTGCATCCGTCCTGGCAGGCCAGGCGTCACTCGCTGCTCGTCGGGCGTTTGAGGACGGCGTGGACGGCGGCGGCGGCGGCGCCAAGCGGCAACTCAGGTGGTGGGCCCCTGTGAATTTGGAGGATGCCGCTGTTGACGCCGCGCTGGGCATACTGATTTTCAAGGTGGGCGATTCGCTGGGTACGTTGTTGGATGTGAATGCACCAAAGCCCTCGTGTGTTTTGATGAAGGGGGAGCCCTGGACAGGGAGTCTCGCCAAACTTGCCCCTAGTCCAGTCGACCATCCGCAACAGCACCTGCGTGGCTCGCCACCCACCCTTGCTTTCCTCGTCTCGCTGAGTGCAGGGCGTCGGCGGCCGATTCAGCGCGCTGATGCCAAGCGACCTGGCGGCCCCAGGGGCCCTGGCATTCGAGTCCGTCCCGGCGCGCGGGGACGGGTACGCGCCGCCGGGAGCCAGGCGGGAGCTGGCGCGCATCTTCAGGCGCGATGGCTGCCATCATTGCGGTACGCAGGGCCGGGACAGCCCTCAAAGCGGTGGTCGCGGAGAGTTGGATGGATCCGCCTTCCAGAGTCGCCGCTGGCCACACGCCATCGCAGTCCATGCTCGCAGCGTTTGACAGCAGCCCACCCTGTGCACATGTGTGCAAACAACCAAGTTGGCATCCGGCTCCGCCCCTGCACACCCTGCAGGCACGCGCCAGGGCTCCGTCATCGGCGACCACATGCCGCCCAACAAGGTGGCGCTGGCGAGCAGTGGCGTGGTGGGCAAGCTGGAGGCATGGGCCAACGACTTGCCAATGCTCAAGCAGGTGGGGCTGCCAGGCGTCTGTTTGTGTAGTTGTATGTGTTGTGGAATGCGTCTCTGTGACGGGTTGCGTGTGTGCGCACACGCGCATGTCTGCATGGATGCGCGCGCTTGTTTGTGTGATTGTGATTGTGTGTGTGTGTGTGTGTGTGTGTGTGTGTTTGTGTGTGCGTGTGCGCATGTAAATGTGTGTGTGCATGCGTGCGTGTGTGTGTGTGTATTTGTGTGTGTGTGTTTGAGTGTGTTCGTGTGGTTGTGCACATGTGCATATGCGTGCACGTGTGTGTGCGCGTGCATGCATGTGTCCATGCATGTGTGTGTGTGTGTGTGTGTGCATGTGAGAGAGTGTGTGTGTGCGCTGGTGGACACACACAGGTGTGTGTGTGTGTGTGTGTGTATGTGTGTTTGTGAGCGTACGTGCATGCATGTTTGCGCGAAAGTGCGCATGCGCGCATTTGTGTATTGTGTGTGTGTATCCCCCCTCACGCATGCGTGCGCATACACGCGTGCACACCCATGTTGCCGTGCATCAGCGCCTTGTGTGCGTACATGCCTGCTTTTCTACACTCGCTTGCACCTCATACCGCAGCCAACCAAGCTGCCCACCCATGCAAAAGTGCGCACCAAGCTGCCCTTCCCGCCCCTGCTAGGTGCGCCACTTGATGGGAGCGCCCGCCAGGACGCCCCGCGTCAGGCAGCGCTTCTACCCCCAGTGCGGCGGCTGCTCTCAAAAGCAGGCCTCGGCGCTGCGCCACGGCAGGCGCTCGCTGGTGCTGCACCTGTTCCACGTCCCACCCCAGTCGCGGACACAGCAGTTCACAGGTGTGCGCGCATGCCGCCTGCATGCGACGTCCGCCAACGGCAGGCTCCTCTCTGCATGATCCCCTTATTCCTGGTGGTGCCATAGGATCAGGCCCCTCAAGGCGCGTCTCCCGGCCTTGGCCATGAGACCCACCCACGCTGCATGCTCCTGCTGCGCCCCGACCCCCAGGCATCCTTGTCGGCCTCCGCCAGAACGCGCCCACCTGGCAGCCGCCGCCCGCCGGCGGCCCCGGTGGCGGTGGCACGCGCGGCCGCCGCGCGCCCGCCTGGAGCCCCCTCGCCCTGGCCGCGGTGCTGGCGCCCTCCTCCGTGCCGCTGCAGCTGCCCTTGGCGTCCCTGAGCGGCGCGAGCTCGCCGCTGCTGGGAGCGGGGCCGTCCTGTGCGTCGGACCTCTGGGCGCCAGCAGCTGCACTGCAGCAGCAGCAGCAGCACCAGCAGCAGCAACAGCAGCTTGTTCTGGCGCACGGTTCGGTGGGTTCACACCTCGACGGCAGCGGCGGCGCGACGGCATCGCAGCAGACGGGAGAGGCACAGCGCTGCGAAGCTCGGGACCGGAGGGGCCCGTCCCAGGTGCCGCTGCACCTGCTGGGAAGCTTCCAGCCGTGGAGCCAGGCACCGCCGCCGGCTGGGGCCGTCCACTACGGCCGCCACGACTACGCGGCGGCGGGCGACGCGGCTTGCAGGGTCGCGGCGGTGCCTTCGCTAGCAGATGACGGCGTGCACGGCGATGTGGACGCCAGGCAGGGCGGCGAGACGGTGCGTTTGGCGATGCTTTGTGGTTCGCGAACAGCATGATGGTTGGCCAAGCGCGCTGACTGAGAGCCGTCTGGGGCAGCTGGCCGCGGCCTGCATGTGCTGACGGGGTCCCGGGGTGAATGAGCCAACCTTGCCAGCTCACCTGTACCTGCATCCCCGAAACCCTCCCAGGTGCCCGCCGACGCCAAGCACCGGGCCCAGGCAGCGTTCGACCGGCACGTCACCTCCTGGGGCGCCTACGCGTGAGGCGGCCCTCGCTCCCTGACGCTCGACCCCCTGCCACTGCTGGGATGCGGGGTCTGGCATGAAGTGGGTTGACACGCTGCAACTGCTGGGGGCTGCGGCCGTACAGCACCAACCGATCTGCCCAGGACGGGCCAGCGGTGCAGCACACACTCTGAAACCTTGGGGATCTTGCGCAAGCCAGACTTGTCATGGTAGGGTCATGCAACCTCACACCTGTTTTTCGGCGTCTCTCAGCATTGGGAGCGTTGTCACCAACATCACTCTTGCGTGCTGCCAGCTGCACCAAGTAGACACTGGCATCGCGCTTGGCGCATGCCCCCCCGCCCGTTTCGCCTTCAGCTGCTTGTGGGGAGCCCCAGGGCCCCCCTCTTGACCAAGGGACCCTTGACTAGAGACCTCTTACATTTTATTTTGATGTCATCATCAAGCATGCATGCATGCATGCATACCGAATGCATATGCATGTTCGCATGTGGTTGTCAGGTGCAGCACCAGCCCGCGCCATGATGGTATGTGGCTTTTGCCACTACAGCTTTACGTTGCAGCCCGCTCAGTAACCCGGCCTACGCCTTTGCAGCAGCATGCCCCAGCTTGCATCCATGGCGCGCCGCCTGGCTGCGCGCCAGCTCTGCTGGGTCTCTCATCGGTGTGCGATGTCAGGTGACGACGATGGTGCAGCATGCGCTTGCGCTATTGCCTCCTGATGGTGCCCCACTCACACATTGTGGGGCCGTCCGGGACATGACCATCCGTTGCCATGGCGGGGAGCGCCCTGCCGGTGTCATGTTGGACCGAGGCGTTGTGAGTTCCAGACCGTGGGACTAGAGCAGCTCAGGGTCAAACAAGACACACTAAGCTGGCGCATTGCACAACATGGCGATAGCAGAGCAGCCCGTGTTCCAAGTGGGGACTGACTGTGGGGTGTGATCATTGGTGCGATATGCTGACAGAACCAGGTACCGCGCAAGTTCCCACTTGACTTGGTTGGTACAGAGGGGATAGAGGTTCAGAAGTCAAAAGTATGTGGAGGGCTGGGATGTTCCCGGCGTGCTTAGCAGCATGACTGCCTGCCGCTTTTGAGTGCGTGTACAGGATCAGCACAGAAACAGGGTTTCCAAGAATGTATCTCACGCGCAACGGCGCCGCCGCCACCCAGGTGCTGCCTCTTTGCTGGGCGCAAGGGCTATGATGCAGTCCAAGCAAGTGAGGCAGCCGGTCGGCCTCCTTGTATCAGGGATGAGATATGCAAAAGCAGGTCGCAGCTGTTGAATATCACAGTCATCAATACAAACACCCAGTGCGAGTGGCCTCTCTCGTGGGCCAAGCGCGCCCCAGGCCCCGTCACCCAGTCGTCACCCGTCCTTGCCCACCCACCTGCCGGCCGGCTTCCTTCGTGCCGGCAAAGCTCAACAAGCATACCGTGCGCTGCACGCACCTCCCATATTCTTTGCCCACTCATTTAGTTGGTGGGATTGTCGTGCCCGTAGCGAAGGGAGGTGGTTCTGAGGTGCAGAATGGCGGAGGAGGAGCAGCAGCAGGAGGTCCAGCAGGAGGAGCAGCCGCTTCTGATAGGGAGGCGGTGTTTCGTGTCCAACCTGGCCTGGCGCACGAGTGAGTGGCAGCCCTGACACGCCGACGAACGGACCGGGGCCTAGTTAAGAGCGCGCAGGGCCCCGGGGGGGCCAGATCATCGCCTGAACGGGCCCCGCGCACGACCCCCTTGCCCACGTCAGGCTGGCAGGACCTGAAGGACAAGTTCCGGGAGTGCGGTAACGTGGTCTACGCCAACGTCACGCGTGGCGAGGACGGTGGGCGCGGCCCTCAAGGGCACTCGGAGATCGGCCCGTTGGCCGCCACCATCGGCAGGCCGCTTCGGGACTACGTGTGTGCCATGTTTTTGCTAGTCTGCTGTCACACGACTCGGCAGCCTCGGCTAGGGCGTCACAGCGCAAGGCTGTCGGCGATCTGACCGCGCACTCCCGCGTTCGTACTCCCCAGGGCGTTCCAAGGGATGGGGCATCGTGGAGTTTGAGACGCCAGACGAGGTGGGCCTCCTTGAACAGTGCACGGAGAGCTCCGCAGGCGGCTACGACAGCATACCACCACACTGCTTGCGCCCAGGCATGACTGCATGCGCAGCACCCGCGCCTTGACCCTGACGCCCCCCCCCCGGAC